GTCTTTTTAAAAATGTTGGCTCAGAGTTCATATGAAACGATAATAAATCACTTTTGTTTACTCATTCTAGTCCAGTGGTTATCAACTTGTTGTTCGCGACCCCGGGGGGGGGGGGAATTTCGAACGACCCTTACTCAATAACTCAATTTGGAGATTGCGTCGGTGGGCAGAGGCGTAGCAAGGTTGTTTGGCGCCCGGGGACAAGATTCGCGCACGGGGAGAATATCCATTTTAAAGCGCCCCTTTTTCTTTTTTTTTAACTCTCAAACCCATTATTTTCATCAATAAAATAATATCAAAGCACATTTTGGCGTCCCTAACTAGCTGGCGTCCGTGGACATCTGTTTCCCCTGCCCCTCCTCGCTACGCCTCTGTCGGTGGGTCATCGAGCGTGAGCTCTTAAAACACCCCTCAGGCACACCCCGACACGGGACCGCCACACCGTGGGGAAGAGTGTCAGAGACCTCCCCCTCGAGCTTAGGGAATGTCCGGTCGACTGGACACACTCCTTTCAGAGTGTGGCCAGTTCACTCTCCGTGGATTCAGAACGGCTTTACTTCCTCTCCGAGGGGAAAGGTGTTGCGTTTCCCCCTCCCCCCCCCAACCGCCCAGGGAGTTGTTTGGTCTAGACTTAGCATGGGGGACGAAACGGTCGCCTAGGAGCGGTTTTATCAGGGCCGCGTACTTTAAATCCTCGGCCAGAGTTTTGTTGCCAGCCAAACCTCATATCCATTATCGGCGAACAGTAAACATGTCAGTGCGCTTCTTTCGTTGCATAGGAAGTCATACATTTGGCCGGGATCTTTTGGCTTCAGGAGGGAGCCTCCCTACTGGCCTGCCACGCCGCGTAGAGGCAAGATCCCGTGCGACACCTTGCCGAGTCACCTCGGTAGTGTGGGTCTCTGACCTAGAGGCGTTCGGTCAGGTCATTCCCGAAGCGTACGACCCTTACACAGGGGACGACTAAGAACATTGTAAACACATATTTATGAAGTAGCACAAATTTTTTTTTTATGGTTGGTGGTCCCCACAACACGATGAACTAATGGTAAAGGGTCGCGGCCTTACTGAGGTGGAGAAGCACTGTTCTAGATAGTTTAAATATTTCATCAATTGTTTAAATAGAGATTAAATAAAACTTTCACAATTATGTTGTTGTTCTTGTTGCTCTTTTGAAACTAATATTAAATCTTTTGAATCTGATTGTTTTGGGGTCCTAACTAAGCCCTGAAGTAGAGCATACAAACGCCGTTGACCGCGCTTACAAATCTACCGCTCCTCGGAGAGTATTCTTTTTCAAAACTGCAAGGCATGCCAATGAAAGTGTCGTATATCGACGTCACACTACACAATAAGTGTTGAAGTTCAATGTTTGGTTTACCTTGGTCGCTCTCTTCCGACCATTTGAAGTTGTTACGTATGTCTATGGAGGCACTCTGAAAGTAAAGCTCTGCAAACTGATGGATGATACAGCTTGCTGTGGCTGTGGATAAAAATGTGGATAAAATCAGGTTATCAAAATAGAACCAAAAAAACTGAGACAATTAAACAACAAACAAAGAAAAAAAAAAGTTTTCGAATAAATTCTGTATATAAATGTTTTATTATTTTATTTTATATTCTTATGTCTCACCAGATTGCAGATCGCAGATCAATTACACCAACTATTTCAGGGAAACAAAATAAAATTGTACGCACCAAACGCACTTGCAGTAGTTTTACGAATCTCATTTAGCACGGTTATCGGGAATTTTATTTCGTGAAATCAGTGACGTCATATTTCCTTCAGATTCCCCTTGGAAAACGTTCAAATCTTGTTTGAGGTGGCTCAATATTTGCATTATTTGAGTAAAATCATATAGTAAGTTGTCGACCACACAATTATAAATATTTTATAAGAAGTAAACTTAATAATAATAAACTTAGATAACATATACCTCAGCCCAACAATATTGCCCCCCCCCCAATGGGCGCCCGCAGAAAACTTTCTAGTGGGTGGGCAAAAAAATCGATTAACTTTCCAGGGGGGGGGGAAATTTTTAGTAATGTTTTAATATAGTTTTACTTTACTGTAGCGTATTTGTATGGTGAACGATTGGACAGGACATCAGCTTAGTTACTTTCTCTTTATTTTCTCTTTACTTTAATAAACTTTTTGTGTATTTTTGTCTAAATTTTTGTTATTCAATCAATCCATGGGGGGGGGGGGGCAAGTGCCCCACCTTGCCCCTACCTGCAGGCGCCCATGCAAGTAATGCACTTTAAGATTTTAAGTCATTTCTTCCCTCCCCCGTTAGGCCAAGCCCCTAACATATTAATATATTAGTTACTTTCTCTTTTTTTTCTCTTTTCTTTAATAAACTTTTTGTGTTTTTTTTTCTAAATTTTTGTTATTCAATCAATCCATGGGGGGGGGGGGGCAAGTGCCCCACCTTGCCCCTACCTGCAGGCGCCCATGCAAGTAATGCACTTTAAGATTTTAAGTCAGTGCTTCCCTCCCCCGTTAGGCCAAGCCCCTAACATATTAATATTGTAATGTCCCACCTCCTTTTACACATCAATTTTTTTTTACATTAACATTTTACGTAAAATAAAAGTAAATATTATCCACCTAATGCACTTTCGGTATCTTTACGAATCTCATTTAAGGCGGTTATAGGGAATATTATTTAGTGAAATCTGAGCCATCTGATAGTTTATAGAGACATTGTTACATGGAAAATTATGTTTTTTGATCTCACTTATGAGAAATCTATTTTTTAATATGAAACTCACTAGTAACCACGTCACAGTTTATAGCTTTCTGTCAAGGTCTTATTTTTCCAACTCCAAATACCAATTATTTGAGAGAGGCCAGCTGGGTATCTCTCACTCCAGTTCTGTGACGCACGTAGACGTAGGCTTTTGTTTGCTGGTGACGCACGACTGGTAGTTATTTCTTGGCTTTCACGGTCAACCAGCCAAGCGAATGTGTGTTGCCTGGGTTCGCTTAGCCTTGAGTGTCTCAGTATAATAGACAGAACTATTGCTGTATGCAAAAAAAAAAAAAAAGAAAACATAACCATTATGTGTACAATATTAAATATACGTTCTGAAATAAATGTATCAAATTTTAATTAAGCTTAGACTTGAGTGTCTAAGTATAATAGACAGAAATATTGCTGTATGCAAAAAAAAAAAAAAAAAAAAGAAAACATAACCATTATGTGTACAATATTAAATATACGTTCTGAAATAAATGTATCAAATTTTAATTACGAATTTATGATAATTTTATTAATTTTTTAAAATAAATTTTTAATAAAAGTATTATTAATTCATAACTAAAATTAGATACATTTATTTCAGAACGTTTAATTAATATTGTACACATAATGGTTATGTTTTTGTTTTTCGAGTTGAAATGTATGGGAAAATAACGTATCGTTGTTTATTGCTATACACATTTTTTTTTAAACTACACTTAAAAGTTCTTCTAGTCCCCTCCAAAAACAAGTCCTTAAACCTTAATGTGAGAAATTTTAAAAGCTGGCGACCGATTTAAATGGATACGAGCTTCGTAGAATGCTATCAACCAGTAGAGCTCCTAATCTGCATTTAATGGTAAACTCGCTGTCCGACTTTAATGACCCAATGTTTATATTTAAGCCATAAGTAAAGAACACTCTTACAACAGACACAGACACACACACAAATACATTAAATTACGTCCGGGGGGGGGGGATCTTTAGCGAATTTAAAACAAAAAAAATTACATTGTTACATTTTCGGCATTTCAAATCAAATTATAAAACCTGCGTTGTTGTTAGGGATTTCTTTTCACTTTAAAAATAAGATTTGATACCACTATGACACGTCACAATTGCTGGCTCAGCTTTGATGCGTGTTAGAAGCAAGTTATGACCGGCACATATTTTATCATGGTCGTGCCATGCCTAAAGGCTGCCTTGGACAGTCAGCAAAAATCGCACCCCCTTCACACACCTTTATATTTAAAAAAAACCAAACATGCTGGTGATCAAATAAGTGCCCCCCCCCCCCCCCCAAGTGCTGTCGTTACTTTCCGTCCGCCAAAGTTTTAACTTTAACACGTGACGTGCCCATGCGTTGAAGCGTGCAGTTTGAGAAGCCATGGCTTTTATACGGTCAAGTTGGTGGTCGAACGACCCATAAGGCCACGTTATATCCTCTCTTAACGGGTACGTATGGGTCTACTGGTCAATCGCCAGTTCGGTTCACTCGTCACCAAAACGTCGGTGTCCACCTGCCATCGTCAACTAAGGCCTAGCGTTCAAGAAAGAAGGATTGTGTTCATGATAGGTAAGCTCCGTATACTCAGGGAGGGTGCGATAATGGTATTACTATTTGGGCCTATACAAAAAGATAAATGACTAACTCCAAATTATTTACTGGACAGAGTTTGATTAATTGTAAATGTTTTTATATTTTACTATTAAAAGGAACGGAATATGACACAAATTATTATGTCTGAAACATTTCTTTTTTTTTAAATGTGTGGGTTAAATGCTTAAAATTTTCAAAATTATTCATTAAAAACTACAAATGTGTAGCAGTAATCAGAAATGTTTAGCCTGTTTTTAAGGTCCGTTTCAATAATTGAACTGCATTGTCTCAAAATTCGTGTAGTGTTACGTAAATACTTTTAGCACTGAAGTCTTCATTTTAGAAATACCTAAGTGAGGAGGCAGACAGTGTCGCAGTATGTACTGAGACGAAGCTGAATTAAGTCACTTGCGTCTTATTAAAAATGAAATTGCTATTCAAAAAAATTGCACACATGAGCTCGGTGTCGGAGGAGTGGAAGAATGATTGTTCTTTTTAAAAATATTTTATGTGATTGCTTTTAACTGTTGTGAGTACGGTTTATGACTTTCGTCAGCCTGAATGCGCACAAAGAACAGACTAAACTTTTAATCCAGTGGGTGTGGATGGGGGGATTGTGGACGTGGGTTAAGAGTTGAAGGACGTGGCAAAAGTAGGTCAAAACGTTAGTAGGATACTAACTGAAATCTCAAACGGCAATACTTTTCTTGACGCACCATTGAAACCACCCAACTGTGAAAAAAAACCCAACAACATTGGCCCAACAAGGTGGCCAATCGCCGTTGGGGGGAAGGTGAGGTGGGGATCAACCGAATTGTGCTGGGCTAAAATGAAGTATTGGAACACATAAAGTCATTTCTGACATTTAGTTGGGAGGATTTGGATGTGAAGACCAAGACACTCCATTCATTATAAACTCAATGTTCAATAAATTGTGGGTAAACGGAGTTTTGATTGAATGTCCCTTCATTTATTAAAAATAAGATTGGTTTCGTGTCCTCGAAAAGAATTGCATTATTAAATTGCAAAACTTTAAGGTAAGATAATATATTATTTAACGTTGATTATAATTTAAAATAGACGTAAGACAAGTTTGTTTAAATTTTCTCTTCTATATTTCAGAGATAATTTTATAGAGAAAAGAAAGAAAAATCAAATTTTAATCTCATTAAAAAATTTTGCTTTTTACAGTTTTGATGGTTTCAACAATTTGATCATGTTTTATGAATGCAGTTAAATCCTTTCAATGTGTATCAATTAAGAAATAAATAGCCCTTTCAACATTATAGACATAGTTAAGCTTGATAATTAAAAGATGAAAAGTATAACTTAAAATTTTCCATTTCATTTTCGTTTTACTTTAACTTTAATTATATTCTTTAATCCTAGGAGGTAAATATTACCATTGTGGTCATCGTGGATATTATGTTATTTAAAAACAAAAATTATATTGATAATTGTCAGAAATACCACAAGCGTTGCATAATAAAATAAATAAGACTGCAAAGAATTGATCAATAATCAATATATTCATGTCAGAATTTAATGGGTTTTTTTTTGTACATATAAAGCTGTTTCAAAAGTCTTTCAGCTTTCAAGCTAAAAGTGTTATAGACAATTTTAATGATTTATATATTATTCTTAAAATATACATTCATAGTATATATATTTTTGTACCGTAACAACTGTATTCGTACCCGTAGTATATTATGTACCCGTTTTATATTTTGTGCATCATCTCCATTAATTTTGTGTAGGGCATTGAACAATACAGACTTTGTGTCTTAAATACGTGTACATTTATTCTTCAAAGCCCTGTAGGGACCGAAATCTAAATAAACAATAAACATTCTTCGATATCGTTTTCCGTTGTATACAAAAATATTCAAAGTACATAATTAAATTATATTCTGCCTTTCCATATTAATAGTTTCATAAATATATTTTAAATAATCAGAAATAAAATAAAAAAATTTTTGGTTTGTATGTCCAGTCAAATGTTACAAGTTTATATTCTTAATTATTATTTACAGTCGTCCCTCTCCACAAAAATGTCACTTCTGCTATTGTTACTGACCACCTGGTCAGTGTTAGGACGTGGTCAGTCAGAGCCGGAGCTGACATTTCATTTTGTGGCGCCTGGTACCGGACGTGTCCCAGAAACACTGGACGTCGGGATAGAGCAACAGATGGATCATCAGTAAGTGCATGGGATAGTTGAAGAATTATTGAGTTAAAGAATTTCAAATCATACGTGAGAGATATCCGGATTTTTATGAATTAAAATAAAAACTAGAAAATATTGTTAAAGGAACAAAAAAAAAAAAAGATAACATCTTTATGTAATTATGGTTGAAATTAAAAGTAGCAAACTATTTTGAGCACAAGTTTCCATTGCTTTTAAAAACTTAATAATAACCTCGCTTTTGTTCGGGGGTGGCTGGCTGTCTGGCTGACTGACTGGCTGGCTGGCTGGCTGTCAAGCTGCCTGGCTGATTGACTGGCTGACTGACTGACTGGCTGACTGACTGACTGGCTGGCTGACTGTCTGGCTGTCTGGCTGACTGACTGGCTGGCTGGCTGTCTGGCTGACTGACTGGCTGTCTGGGTGGCTGGCTGCCTGGCTGGCTGTCTGGCTGATCTGGCTGACTGACTGGCTGGCTGGCTGTCTGGCTGCCTCGCTGGCTGTCTGGCTGGCTGTCTGGCTGACTGACTGGCTGTCTGGCTGGCTGGCTGTCTGGCTGGCTGTCTGGCTGCCTGGCTAACTGACTGGCTGGCTGGCTGGCTGTCTGGCTGCCTGGCTGGCTATCTGGCTGGCTGTCTGGCTGACTGACTGGCTGGCTGGCAGGCACATTTCTTTGGACGGCTTATTGAACCACTTCCCGTGAACTTATCGAGCTGAAACTTTACACATAGACTCATTACCGATGATAACACATACTTTTAAACTTGCCTCCCATTCAGAAATGGTCATGCTCTTTCAAAAGATATATCGCCCTGAAAGTAAATTTTTCCCCCAGGCTGCTCTCAAAGGTTTTTATGTTGCCAACTGGACTCCCCGTGATACATGGCACTCCTCCCCCTTTGCTAGTTATAATATATGTGATGGTTTTAGGTCTGTCAGTTAGCCTTCCATGGTCACGATCCATCATCAAATCAATGTTTCGACAAGTTGTTAACAATGTATTACATTTAAGTAAAATAATTTTCGGGGGTTGGGATGACAATCCTCAGTTTTAAATAAAAATTATGTCATTTTTGTTGAGGTGTTTCTCTGTAAGTAAAAAAAAAAAAAGTTATGAAGATTTATCTTTTTCTCATCAACTTTTCAGATTCTTTAAATCCATGTGCAGGTCTATCGGTAACGAGGTAACACTCCGCGTTAGCTTGGTAGACGGCTCGATACATTTCTTGGATGAGAATTCAGGACTCTCCAATTTAACTGACGGGGCGATGTCTTGTCTCCCGGTTGGCGTGAGTAATCCAATCAAATGCACAGAGTCCAGCTTCTGTAACCAAGAAAGCGATTGCACGGCCACGCTGGTGTCGGTGTGCCCCAAACATGGGGCTTCAACCACTTGGATGATGACGCAAAACGTTGACGTCACGCTGAGCGTTGTCGGTGACGATCTTGTCATTTCTCGTTGTTATGCCATGTGTGAGAATAGTTACCAGCAACACGTGCAGGGCGATGAGGATGAAAGTGGCATATCAAACCTAGCACTTGGGCTAATAATAGCCGGGGTAATCCTTGGTGCTTTTCTGCTTGTTATTGGTGTGATTTTTTGGAAATTCAAAGACCAGAGCATGATCAGTAGGTCGGTGGAGAAACTATATCAAAGCAGATCTGTCGAATCCGTTCAGGCCCAGAAAAGCAAGCGTGAAGATAGTATAAAAGTCATCACATCAAAATCATAAGGCATCTGCAGATATCTGAGCACCATATTAAAAAAAAACCAGCAAACTATAAATTGGATGCGTAATGAAACTTCAGACATGAAATCATCGATAATTTATATTAAAATAAAAGAGCAAAATGTAGTGTTATGTAAAAAAATGTAATTTATAGCATTTTCGTGAAGTTACCAGACTTACCTAAATGAAGCAATTGTAATATTGGCATCATAGTTTGTTTGTTTTTTGTTTTTGTTTGTAATTTATTTGTGTTAGTGAATTCCACAGAGTTGAAATTAATAAATTCTATTTAAAAAATAATAATTTAAGTATGTATAATTTAAGAAACAAATTATCTATACGCTATGTTCTATTGACATCAAACATATATATATATATATAGATATATATATATATATATATATATTTAAATACATTATATCTGCACAACGTTATGCTCTAAGTCTTGTAACTTATCCAAAGGAGTATTCTTTGAGACACGTTAGGAGTTACTAAAACTTATTTTTAGGGCTTCGAAATTATTATTATTATTTTTTTTTTAAAATAAATCAATTGAAAAATTTATTTAAAAAAAAATATTCTGTATTGACATTTGATTACAACTAAGTGTTTGGTTAAACTACTTGTTGCTAAAGACATCCAGAAGGATCTAACTTACATTCAACGATGAAGTGACATGTAAAGGGTCGGAACATTTTATCCACAGGTTATTTATAGATTTTAGAAAAAAAAAAACCCTTGAGATTATACACTGTAAATATAATGCCTCCACTCTCCACCCACACAACACGATCACGTCCACCCACACAACACGTTCACGTCCACCCACACAACACGTTCACGTCCACCCACACAACACTTTCACGTCCACCCACACAGCACTTTCACGTCCACCCACACAACACATTCACGACCACCCACACAACACGTTCACGTCCACACACACAACAACAATTGAAAAATTTATTTAAAAAAAAATATTCTGTATTGACATTTGATTAAAACTAAGTGTTTGGTTAAACTACTTGTTCCTAAAAACATCCAGAAGGATCTAACTTACATTCAACGATGAAGTGACATGTAAAGGGCCGGAACATTTTATCCACAGGTTATTTATAGATTTTAGAAAAAAAAAAACCCTAGAGACTATACACTGTAAATATAATGCCTCCACTCTCCACCCACACAACACGATCACGTCCACCCACACAACACGTTCACGTCCACCCACACAACACGTTCACGTCCACCCACACAGCACTTTCACGTCCACCCACACAGCACTTTCACGTCCACCCACACAACACATTCACGTCCACCCACACAACACGTTCACGTCCACCCACACAACACGTTCACGTCCACCCACACAACACATTCACGTCCACCCACACAATACTTTCAGCTCATCTTGATTGACAACCATCGTATGGGCCATTCATTACATTCGTGTGTGTGCTTGGATAAGGCTGACCAAATAGCTTCCGCTCAAAAAACGATAAAAAAAGAAATAACTAGCAGAAGAATCTATTAGCGAATAGATTGTTTTGCATGCTAAGAAAAACAATTTTGAGGATTGTCAAACATAGTGTACTGCTTTGAATATAATCACAAATACAGCTGCTGGACTTTGACATTATAACAAACATTCATTTCTTTGACGCATTGAAATAAGTAAAAAAAAAAAAAAAAAATAAAATTACAATTAAAAAAAAAAAAAAAAAAAAAAAAAAAAAATTCTTTGACGCATTGAAAAAAATAAAAAAAAAAAAAAAATCAAATTGCCATTAATAAGAAAAAAAAAAAAAAATCAACAGATCAAGTTACTCTAACAATAAAATACCATTTCAATTACTTGCCTCTCCTAAAATCAGGATTGGATAGTTCTCATCTAGTGATTCGCTAAACAAGTGACGTGCATGTTTCCTCACCATTTTCCATCGCGTGCTTTCTGTGTTATTTCTTCTTATGAACCTGACCACCATTTTCTTTTGGCTTAAAGTAGGTGATTAAAGGAGTTATCGTTTAGTAAGCGCCTTTAACAACCAGACGTAACATTTTTAAAAAAAAAGTTGATAAATAATTATTGTTGTTTCTTTTTATTATAATAGTTATAAAAAACAAACTTGCACGTGCTAAATAGAAGCGGCCCTGAACAGAGGCGTAGCGAGGGTGGGGCAGGGGGGACATATGCCCCCCGGCGCAAGCTAGTTAGAGGCGCCAACATGTGCTTTGATATTATATAACTGGTAAAAATAATGGGTTTGAGAGTTGAAAAAAAGAAAAGGGGGCGCTTTAAAATGGATCTTGTCCCCGGGCGCCAAATACCATCGCTACGCCTCTTGGTCTGAAGTAAAACTTGAAAATTACGCCCCTATACTTTTCATCAATAAATTGTATATTTGATTTATATATATATTCGTACCTCATTTGTTGCGGTTAATCAGTTCAATAATCTACCGTGATAGGGAATTTCTGCGAAGTAGGATTATGTATTTATAAAGGGAATATGTTGGTAGTTAGAGCATAGAAGACCTGTTCACGGGCCTCATAATTCCTTGCAGTTACAGCTAAGAAAACCTGTTCTCGAGCCTTTAAATGTTGTTTTTAACATTAAAAGACCCTCCGAGGGTGCCCGAATACATAGGCCTACAGTTCATGCGTATAGCAATTTTAATTTGAATTGTACAGGGTTTTAGAGTTGACTTAGACAACCGAGCGTGAGCTGTATCATGTTCACTTTCTCGATCAACGTTTTAATGAATAAAATGTTATATTTCAAGAAGAAGTCTCTTTAGACTCAATGCTATTCGGGTGTCGTTTTTGGTAGTTTATTTTCGTTAAACTCAAGAAGTAAGTTTATACACATATAGTCCATTGAATTATCTTTCATTCGATACCTTCATTTTGTCTTACAAACCCAACAATAATATTTTTAATATTTCTCAATCCCAACCTCTCACTTCTTGGGACCCGGGTCCGAATAGCCACTTCGTTTAATATTTTAACACACAAAACTAAATCTAACCACGTGCGATCAGGGGGGTTACCATGGCAATAACATTAGTGTATTTCAATCAGTGAGATAAAAAGGTGAATGAAAAAGACGAATACAAATTTGTTAACATGTCAACGTCTTTAGAAATATCATGAAATTCACCCAGGTGACTTGGCTTTTAGTGGCAGCCTTTTTTTTTATGTTTCACAATCTGACGCTACTCGGCAACCCAATCTGCAACCCAATCTGCAACCCAATCCTTTCTAACGCAATTTCATGATGTTCTCTATGCAACCTAAGAAAGCCCCAAAGTAACGATGTAATAAACCTAAGTTTAACTGCACTGCAAACTACTAACCATCAAATAATATATATATTTTTTTAAAACTAAAAGGAGTCAAATTTCTTATAATTTGTTTTGGCTATACATGTAATATATTTCTTTACATCGGCATCATCTTAAACCTGACCATAAAGTGACCCGAAAGTCTTTGAAACCTTCGCTAATTAGATTAAATCCCCCACTCCTCACCACCAAAACAAATTGAAGGAAAACGTGCCTCAACCGAGGGAACAAGTCACCACCGCCAGGCCACCTAGCCTTACATTAAAACACTGCCCTGAATAATCAACGCTAAATGTCTCAGTCCCGGAGTTAGTTCTCTGCTCGAGCCTCCGACCCGATGCTGCTGAAACTAATGTTCTCAAGACAGGTGAGAATATTCCAGGTTTTTTAGTTGTTGTGTACGAGACAACAGCTGGTGTAGTAGCTACGTCAAGGACGATCATTCAAGTGACTGCGACTCAAAAGAAAAGGTGGGTGTGTGTATGTAATTGCTTTAGCTAGCTTCATATTGTTCTCTATAGCTTCATATTGTTCTCTATAGCTTCATATTGTTCTCTATAGGTTCATATTGTTCTCTATAGCTTCATATTGTTGTCTATAGCTTCATATTGTTCTCTATAGCTTCATATTGTTCTCTATAGCTTTATATGATGGTAATATTTAAAAAAGAAATGTTTTTTTTAAAAACGAAATAATGACATCATTAAGAACAAATACATCCGAAAAAACAAGAAATGCAGGTATCTATATGGGAAAACAATCAGTTAATCCTTTTTCTTTTCTTTTTTTATATTTTAGATGTGTTTCTAATATTGAAAATAAAACTCATGAGAAGAATTAACACGTTGTAATATGGTAGGAATTTTAAGTAGATTATTGGCACACAAACAAACTATGTGAATAAAACTATGTAAGCTTCATTTAGGATTACACAATATACGAATGCAGATATTTTAGTATAACAAAAAAACATTGCTATACTTATCAGAAGAAGACGAATACCACAATCCATGTACGTTAAATGCGAATAATCCATTATATGCGTACAAAGATACGTGTAACTAGCAGACGCCTTAAGGAGCAACGTCATAAATAGCAACACGCTTTTCAGAAACGTCTGAAATTGAATTTCATTCTTTAGTTTTAGGCCTGCGCAACATACGGCCCGCCAGCACCCCCTTCGCGGCCCGCGAAGTAACGAAATAGTCTGTAATTATTATTATTACTTACTTCATTAGATTCCCCATACGTCGTATTTCCTTTCGGCCCACATACTTTTTTTTCATAAAGTATTACGGCCCGCCGTACATTTTGAGTTGTGCAGCCCCGCTTTAGGGTATTAATAAGAGGCTCGAACGTTATTGTCTAGCTTCCTAACAAGTAACGAAGTTATCTGGGGCGATTCAATGTGATAACTTTGACAAAATAAGATCTTCAGTGAAGTATACTTATAATGTATACGTCGTATTATTTATATAGTGAATCAGAATATGTAACTTTTTTAAAAGCAGAATTATTTATATTTAAACATATGTTAATGCAACTCTCACAGTTGACAGTATCATTATTTAGTCTTTGCGTCAATAATTTCATCATCATAACTATCATCTTGGCAATTTTGTGTGTGTCTGGGCCAGTGGTCGCGTAATCGTGGCTCGTGAGCCGCACGCGACTCTTTAAGGACCTAAGTCTGGACCAGTCTTCCACAAATAGGCTTTGCCTACGAAAAGCATGGTTCTTGAAGGGTTTGGAAAGAAATGTGGCTCGCAATTTTTTTTAAAAATTTTTTATTCGCCCAGCTGCTGATTTTGGCTCTTTTGGCTATAATGAGTTTTCCGACTACTGATCTAGGCTCTCACACGTCAAAAAGTTAAAAAAATCATTTTCTTAACTAAACTACTCATGTCTTTTGTACGCATGCCTCTTGCACTCATGTCTTTTGTACGCATGCCTCTTGTACTCATGTCATTTTTTCTTTGTTTGAATTCAGTGATTGCAAAATAAGTGTTTGCT